ATCATCCAATGGTCTTCCATGTGGAACAATGAGAAGTCACTAGGAGGGGTACACCCATGACATCTTCTGTGATCATTATGGTGCCTACACTGGGGTCCAAACATTGATGAAAAGACCCCCTGTGGGTGCTCCCACTGGCAATGGGGCCCTAAGATGTCCTTTAAATGGCTGTGATCATGAAATGCTATGTAAAAGCAGAACTTTAGACCAGAGCAATATCCCTCCAATACAAAGTCCCTCTTCTTTTTGTCCACCCTCTTACATTTTCTGTGGTTACTGCCATCCCACTGCCCTCTTTACAGCCTCTCCTCCATATCCAAAAGCAGCTGTTTCAAGTCACCCATCCTCTTGCCATCTTGCACAGAGCTTCAGTTTTTCAGGCTATATAAAGCACAGCGACAGGCATCTCCAGGGTTAACCTCTCAGAAACTCAACAGGATCTTCGGAAGCCAATCAGCTGCAAAGTGTAGAAAGGGGAAGGAAAATTCCACCTGGCTCCTTGTGTTGTTTTCTGGCAATCTTTGTGCTGCAAGGATCAAAGAGCTACCAACTTAGAGCAACATTAACTGGTGCCAGAATCTCTTGATATGACTGTGCAGCAAGCTACAAGTATTCTCTGACACAAACTAAACTGTGATTTACAGAGCTTAACCTTGGATTAGGTGGCCCATAAGGATTTCAAGCAATACTTTTCACACCAGCTGAGGCTCTTCTTATCCCGCTTTATCTTGATTTGTTTTCTCTGTGCTCCACAAAGGCATGGCGAGTCCATCTTTGCATCTCAGTGAGCTTATACTTACTTTCTGAGAGACAGATATCTTGACACTCTTGCCAAGAGCAAATAAGAACGCATTTCAAATACAGATCAGAAAATATGCTGTACTTCAGCTTGTTTAAATGTTTGCAGATATCCTCAATAACTGTTTTGCCATTCTGACACAGCTTGTCAAGTGACACTGCAATCATTGGCAACCCAAGCAAAATTATACACTGCACTGAGGTGGCACAAAAATTGTTAACCTCAGCTTAATGTATGCCAGAAGCCGTCTTGTTTCAGTTAGTTGAATCACAGACATTTCCAGCAGCATTCTTTTGTTGATAAACATTATATTTTCTTGTGACTCTGTGGCTAAATGTCCTTTTCTTCGTCCTTAAATGTCCCTGTATAGCGGAACGCTCAATTCCTGCTTATGCGGTCAAATATTCAATTCTTCCTGTCGACTAACATTTAAAAGAACATTATGATTAGATTACAGATCAATTCCCCATCAGACAAAAAAGACATTAAGGGAGCTAGGGGACTCAGAAACAGAAAAGAAGGGGTAATTTCATTCTGGCAAGACATTAACTATGAGCATTTAGCTTTATGACATTTCGCAATAATTGGCCATATAAGAACTACTTGATACTCCTTTCTTATCACTGAGTTGTATGAGATGCTGCACTAGCAGAGGTGCACAAGAGTCCCAGCCCTTCATCCGGGGGGGGGGGGGGTGAAGCAATTGCCTGCTGCTAGGACAACAACCCAGCCCTGGCTTCGGAGTCTAATTTTGGCTCTGTAATGCATACAGTATTATTGGAAACAAGGAGTCATAATAACATAAGAAGAGCCATGATGGATCCCACCTAGCCCAGACTTCTGTTCCCATAGTATCCAAAAAAATGCCTACGGAAAGCTCACAAGCAGGACATGAGCACAGCTGCTTCTCCCCAGCAACTGGTAATCAAGTGTCTGTTCTGAACCTCCTACTGTTCAACTTTAGTGGATGGTCTCAGGTTCTAGCATCAGGAGGAAGAACACCTTTTCACCTGTCCACTTTCTCTAATAAGCCTTCATCATATCCTTCTTCCCAGAATTGCTTTTTCTTCTTCTACCAGTTGCAACAAACCAAGGGAGAGGAGAGGGCTCTTGTGCTTGAATCCTGCTTATAGGATTCTGATTGGCTATTGCAAGAACAGGATCCTGGACTAGATAGGCCATTGGTTTGACCCTTGAGGCTATTTTTACATTTTCATATTCTTACCCTAAAAAGCTACAAATACTATAACCTTTCACAATGGAGAGGTGCATTTTATTGCTGTTTTCTGTACCTTTTTCCAGATCTACAATATCCTTTTTGAGATGCAGTGGCCAGAACTGTCATAGATTTTTAAAAATGATATCATTATATGACAGTTTTATTTACTATTCCTCTTCTAACAATTTCTGACATGGAATTTGCTTTATTCGCAGCAGCTTTCACTGAGCTACACAAACTCAGGTTCCCTTTCCTGGTCAGTCAATACCAGTTCAGACACCATCAGTGTTTATGTGAAGTTGGGAGTTTTTGCCCCATTGTGCATCTCTTTACACTTGCTTATGGACCATTGCATTGTGTGCCATACAAGAGCCAACATGGTATATTGCAGAGCTCAGGACAAAACCACACCAGGCACAGCTAATTGTGGGAGGGATTGGGACATTCAGGACACATCACAGAAGGGCAGAACAGAGGATCTTACTCCATTCTTCAAATCATTCCATGGATTGCTGAAGCTTAAGCCAAGCCATATAACATTACCAAAATAAACTCCTCTCCCCCACCTTTTCCCGCCTGGACTATGGGGAACTTTAACTGCCTATGAATTTGCTGTATACATTACAATCTTGTAAAAACATGCCACGTAATAGCAATGTGTTAAAACATCATTATTTCTGTGGCAATAATTACAGTGCTAATCAGAAGCAATTAATCAGAGGCAATTGAAATTTGGCTTTAAAATGTTTGTTGCAACTAAGAACATCGCTCCTTGAAATACCAAAAATATTCCCAAGCACAAGCTAAAATTAGTAATAGAAAATAGTTACAGAGTAAGCACAAAGGTTAGCAATAGTCCCATTTGTCAAGGCTGTCGTGAGACTGACAGCCAAACGCAGTGACAGCACTATCAAGATGAATAAATAGTGAGGGAATTGGCGAGTGTGGCACAGAACATTACAGATGGCAGACAGATTCAAGTTTGCAATACCAATTCAGTATTGCCACCAGCTGGAATGGTTCTGTAGCTGGATATAAATCTCCACAAGATACAAAATACTTCAGTATGTTCCCGGCATTAGAAACAAAATTAATTTTAGAAGCCTGTGGAGGATATTGCAAGATTCAGAGAACTCAATATGATACCAAAACTAAACTAAAGTAGGGCAATATTTAAAAGTTGAGAGGGAGGAGAGGGGAGAGAGTAATTGGTGCTGGTGGGAACAGACAGAGAATAATATCAGTCAGGAATTCCAGCTAGGAATATTATAGATTGATATGCAAGGTTGCCTAAAATCATCATCACCATTGCCACTGAGATTATATAATCAGAAGGAACTGTAGCATATAAATACTTCACACAATTTGTTCAGTCTCTAAGATTCAGCTTTTTTAATCTGGGACAAGTCCAACTGGGGCAGAAGGCAAAACACAGAAGGCAGTTTGGGAGAAGGAAGACCCCAGATATTGCAGTGAGGTTGGAAGTAGGAGGAGGAATTGTAGCCATTAGAGCATGAATGAACATTCTGCAAAATGCTTTTTTATTTTTAACATCTTCTAGATTCAGAACTGGCCAACTTTCCACGGGCCATTTTTAATAGGTGTGCATGCTGTCAGTCACCTGATGCCACATGATCACATTCCACAGGAGAGCACTTAACTGTAGTCCTGATCCTTTCAAACCATGGTTGCAAAAGAAGAATCTGATGCAACTTTCCCCGCTAAAAGCTGGGCTTACATTCAGTGCTGAAAGCAAGCCCCACTTGCAGCAAGCATCAGATGCACTCAAATGAAACTAAACCGGGCAGGGTTTGTATTTACAACACAATTTAAAGGGCCATTTATCGGTTGAAGATAAAAGTGTTTACATGATGCCTTCTCCTGCATATTTTCCCCCTCACAACAAGCCTGTGAGGAAGGTAGGCAGATAAGGCTGAGAGACTGTAACTGGCTTAAGGCAGAGGTCATCAAACTACGGCCCACTGGACTCGTTAATCTGGCCCACAAACCTTGCAGACCCTGCTGCCCACTCAGTCAGTCTCCACGCTAAACAGACATGGTGCAGAGACCTCACCCCATAGAGACTTACTTCTGTGACGGAAGCTCCTGCAGCCAATTAGAAGCCACACTGGGTGCCGCCCCTTCATTCCTGCTGAGGCAGCTGAGCGGGAGGAAGTGGCGGTGGCACGGAGGCTGCCCAGGCCAGAGGCATCTGGGTGCTGCCCCTTTCTTACTGCTGAGGCAGCCGAGCAGGAGGAAGCGGCCGAGCGGAAAGGAAGTGGCAGCAGCGTGGAGGCTGCCTCTGCCGCCCAGGCCAGCGGTTTGGGCTCTGTGCCCCACCGAGACAGAGGACGCCGACATTGCCGAAGACAAGACAGTGTTGGCGGCTGCAGCATGATTGGCATAGGCGGGGGGGGGTGTCTTTCGGGAGGGGGGTGCTTTTGGGAGGCAGTGGGTCCAGCCCCCCACAAGGTCTGAGGGACAGTGGACCAGCCCCCTCCTGAGAAAGTTTGCTGACCCGTGGCTTAAGGTGACCATGTGAGCTCTCTGGAGAAGATGGGATTTGAACCTGATATCTAACTGTGTTACTATGTGAATGGGGTAGGCCGTTGGGAGAGGGGTAACACAGAGCTTTTCCATGATCTTGGGTATCAGAATAGGAATGCTGAAAGCCTGCATATCTTGGAAGCACTGTACCTTCTCTACTTTTCTTTCTAGTTCTGTCGGTGGATATCAGGGGAAAAAAGGAAATAATACTGATAGCCATGAAGTGGACTATGTAGCCACGAGGAAAAAATAATTCCCTTTTCAAGAAGCTTTCAAAATTCTGAGCTGATGACAGACTTGAGTTCACTTCTCTGGGGAAGCTTCAAGCATAGTTTATGCACAGATAATTCTGTGCGTAGACCCAAGAGGCCTTTATGACAGTCAGGATCAAATGTAACTGGGAAATCTGATGAACTAACTTAGAGGCATACTTACATTGTGCTTTGTGAGGTTGGAAATATTCGTTGCTATTGCTTGTAGCCAGTCAATGCAGTCTTCAGCCGAGAGACACTGAATTATTCCACTGCAAATGCCATCCACAGCGATTACTTGAAATGCATTTTGCCTATGGACACATCGTAATAGATTAGGTCAGGAGACAAGTGCACCTACTCCGACATTACCAACTTCATAATACTTGTCAAAAGGCTTCGAAATCACTCCCCTCTACCTACCCTTGCCCCACAATAAAAGTCAGCCATTGAACTGCTACTGATTTCCCTATTTTATGAGTCATTCTCTTCTATATTTAGCTTTTGTATATGGCACATCTCCAGATAAATCTTGGCAAAACCCACAGAACAACTGAATACAGATTGCTCACACTGGGCTATCTGCTCAGGGCGCAAAGCTTGAAAAGGTAGTAGCCTGGCAGATTGCACAAGCTGCAATTTGCAATTCGTGGCACATAGCTCTTCAGCTTTACCCCCCACATATTTTGACCATGCTGATTCTGGATCCGAGTCATTCATCTCCACCTTGGAGAATTTCATTATTTCAATATGGCATCCACTGTATCCCCCAAAACAAGAACAGATGCATCATTTAGCTTCTACAGGAGCTAGGATAATAATTGGTGTGTTTTCAGAAGCAAAGAATTCATTTTGGCAACCTCCCACCATATGGAATTGCTCATTAGACAAGCATGATATATAGTTGGTAAGGAGCTTATCCGTATCTTGCTACATTTTTAATTGTATTTTTATATAAACTGCCCTAGGAACATAATTGAAGGGTGATTGATTGATTGATTGATTGATTGACTGATTGATTAAATAAATGTAAACTGATTGATTAAATAAATGTAAACATAATGGGGAGCCTGAGTCCATCCCAGTATTGCTGAACTACAACTTCCATCATCCCATGTTATTTGAGGCTGATGGAATTTGGACTTCAACAACATTTGGAGTGCCATAGGTTCTCCTTCCCTGATTTAATGCACTAAAAGAATGGAGGCAGTGGCAAATTCACACCATTGGTGCCACAAAGCATTCCTAAGAATCTACTCAAATGCAAACCCCATTGAGTTCAAATAGATTTACGCCCCAGGTATGTGTGAATAGAACAGCAGCCTAAGTGCATTATAAAGGACAATTATTGTGGAAGAAGACAACAGTGGCTTCACATCTGCAATTCCAAAAGCAATGGGTGACTTATTGGAAGGAATCTGTGCAAAAAAACAAAGAAAGGTTCTACAGATCTGGACGCAGCATATACATCCTCCCTAATTGTGGAATAGATCACTAGTAACCCAGGTTTATAACTACAGAAGCTACATCAACACTAAATTTTCAGAGCTAGAATAAATAAAAGGGAAAATACTTTCAATGAGAAGACTAAAAAGATATTTTGGAACTTTTAAAATAATAAAATAAAGAAAAAGACTTTGTAATAAAATCTATCATAACTTTCTTAAGAGTCCCCCCTCCCCTTATTCTATAAAAGCACTAAAGCATAATATTCTATATTGGCAGGCTCCACTAAATTATAGATTTTTAATGAAAATTCAGATATGATCTGCTTCAAAAACTAATTAGGTGAAGGGTTGAGAACTCAGAATTGATCCACATAACTTTAATGATTTTCACATTGCACTTTCCCAACATTTGGACATAACCTAAACACAATGAATGTGTGCAATATATTTATCAATATGAGGGGAGGGCATCCAAGCATTCTGTGTCTGCTATTCAGCACAGCTGACTTATCTGCCGTAATGCTCTGTGGACTGATTTACTACATCCAAATGACAGATAATTATCAAGCCTATAAAAACCTTTGAAATGCTGAAGCAGTAAGGGCCCAATTTCCTCCAGAAAGTACATGGGTCTCAGTGGCTTAAGAAACATGGGAGCACGATGATATTTCATGCCCTAAAATCATCTCCTGAGTGTGGACTGGAAATTGTACAACAGGTCTATTTATTCATGATGAATATATGACTGAGATTAGACATGAGAAATGTGGGAATTGTAGCTGCAGTTCGTTCGAAATCAATCTTCTATCCATTACATCTGGGTCACTTAAAGTCAGACAAATTTTGATAGAAGGTTGATCTGATTTATTTTTTTAAAAGAAAAAATTCAGCAGAGGGCATATTATTCTCTGGTTCAGGTTGGTCCAGTGCATTTGCATTAGCTGTAACAATCCTTCCACTTTAACACTGTGGGGTAGAGGGTGGACCACACAGATTTTTTCATAGGGATTTGCAGGTTGAGAAAAAGAGATCAGCATATTGATTTCAAATTTCCTTGTCCATTAGAAGCCTGCAAATAAACACATACCTTTACCAATATGAATTTGGCCCATCCCACCCTACCTTCCTTTGTCTAACCAGAGTCAACTAAAAACATTTTCCAGCCTAGCGACATAGAACAAAGCAGGAAGAGCAGTGTCACACACCTGGCAGGAGGATTGGTGCTGCGCAGGTGCCCTGCTGGGACCACAGGTTTGGATACATAGGGGTGCCTTTATCACGTCAACCTTCACACAGCCTTGCCCTTCCCTGTCTCATTAAGTGGCAGAGATACCACCTCCAGGAAGCTAGGTACACAGTGCCGCTACTCCTAATAAAGTATTCCTGGGTTAGAGCACAGGAAAACACTGAATAGTTTGTCATGGAGACTCTAGTCCTAGTGTCAAGTCTAGCTTTTGAGGAAAAGATCATGGCTGACTGATACTAGGCATTTTAACTGATTGTTAGCTTCTCTAGGCATGGAGATTTGGATGTGAAATTCCTTCAAGCAATCAGTGCCTCTACATGCCTTATAAGGGTTTTGTAGTCATGCAAAAAGTCTCTTAGTTATATTCTTTGCCTCATGCACAACTTAATCAACATGCTCCGCCTGAGTACCAACAGGTTTTAATTTACTTAGCTAAAATTGGATTTTAACCAACTAAGTCATACTCAATAGCTCTACTCTATGACTTAGGGAAAAAATCCCATTCTACTTAATATTGCTGAGGGGTTTTTTTATTTTTCCTTTTGTAAATAGTAAGACTCTCTCTTCTTCTGTGATAGCTAGAACTTCGGGGAAAGTTGTACCTTAGAGTATTAATCATATTAGTTTCTAGCACTAACTGTGTTTTACAGCCCCAGCTAACATAACATCTATTTTTCCTTATTAGTAAAAAAATGCCTTTCTTTCTCTAACAATGGTAAAAAAATGATCTGGTAGTTTGAGGGCACCTCTCCTTCTCAGACCCTTCACTTCAAAAATTACAACTGGCATTCTCCAGTATATGGAGAAAATATTTCCTTTATCTACTTACCTGCACATATCTGACCCTGGGAGATACTGGGAAAACCGGGAGTGAAGCAGCGGGATTAATCGGAGATCACACCACCTCTTCTCCCACCTAAGCCCTGGAGAAGTAGGCCATGAAGAACATGAAAGTGTGTCCTGAAAAATATTTCAAACACCTTTGATGTTTTGGCGTTACCATCAGCAGCTACAATAAACAGTACCTCATTTATATATTACATTACATTTCTCTGCCATCTTTCCACCACAGAGCTTGAGGTGGTTTCATAGTCCTCTTTCTCCCCATTTTATCATGAAAACAACCCTGTGAGATAGGCTGAGAGTCTGTGGTTGGTCCAAGATCACTCAGTGAAAATCTTCCGAACTGGCTAGTTGCAAAATGCTCATCACTACAACAAGTGGGATATGTATAGCAGGAAAGGTTTTATTTTGTAAGGTTCTCTGGGAAGGGTAACATTAATCTCTACCTTCTATACAAAGAGAGAACTATATAGTATACCACATCCTGCAGGATGCTCGTAAGTGAAGCCATCAAATATAAGGAAGAGAGGGCTGGTTTTATTCAATGGGCACCATATACTCAAAAAGGAGAAAGTGAAGGGGTGTTTCTAGAGACACCAGTGTAATGAGCATTATATCTATATCCTTCCTAAGGACTTCAGCTGTTGAGGATAGACCTATCCTAGAATCTGCAATGAATAGAAGAAGCCTTCACCATCGTTATTGCCAATGGAAGTAAAGAAAAACAAACCATTCATGCAACAGAGCTCTGGCTCACATCACTGATAATAGGAATAACTCTCATGCCCCTCTATCCAGAGGGTGCTTTTACCTTTCTTCATGTGTTCATTTCTATGGATATTATAGTGGCAAAAGAGGCAAAATTGTGGTAAGAAAAACAAGCACCCCAACAGGATATGCTGACATTTAAAACAACATTTTCTTTCAAACATTTTGAGGTCATGCAGACATGAAAGGGGGAAAATATTACAAGGGTTGTAAGAAACACTAATAGTGAAGTATTTGTAGCCTCCGCAGAAGCAAGAAGTGTCAAAATGTTCTTGATGGAATCTTTCTAGCTGGTTCCAGAGACAGGAGACTACAGAATAATGCTGCAACATTTCAGGTGTTTATTTGAGCCTCTGGGTCTGTCAGCACCTATGATGTATTGCTAAGTGATGTTCAAACAAAGAACAAAAAAGCTTCTTCCATGAGAGTCGGTGCTGATACCTTTTTTTACAACACACAAACTTACCTTTCTTTCCAATTTGTTTGGCAGTTTTTTGAAATCAGACCTTGTTCCGGTTTGGATGTAGTAGTAAAATTGAATTGTCCAGGGGAAAACATAATTAAAATTTAGTGTGGGTTCACTAAGATAATTTGAATTGCAAGCCAAAATAGCGATGAGCGAACACTCCTCCAACCCACATCCAATTTAGAATTAATTCTGAGGGGGAAAAGAAAGCCAAATAAATGCTGTATGTCCAAAATAAATTATTAGGTCCTGGCATTCTCCTAGTGACATAACAGAGAACACACTGGATGGGACCCCCACCATCATTTCACTCTGCGTTACTTTCTTTAAGAAAGTGACTGTACTCAGCATCCTATCCAGGTTGTGATGGGGCACAGGTAGGTAGCAATGCCAGTTATAGTTCCCTAGAAGTTCAGATGCTTCAGAAGCACTGCTCAGCGATGTGGTCAGTCCTTACTGAACCCACCACCACTGAGGGAACATGGACACTGGGGAAAACGTACTTAATGCCAAGAGGTTTGTGGCAGGTTCCAAGCTCTCTAGGTTTCCAGGTAATTTATGACAAAATCATACTGGGATCCATAGGTTCTTTATAGAATTTTTATTCCATTTTAATAAGACTTAAATGAAGCAAAAATAATGGAGTATCTAAATCCACTTGTCAGTTGTGGTCTTTGTCTGATTTCATTCCATTACTAAACCAGGAGTTAGCATAAAGTTCCCCCACCTATAGCTGCATAATGAGAAAAGGGTTTTTACAGTACACTTTGCTTCTATGGAGTCTACCTAACATTGAGACTGGCATATTCCCAGCATGCTCATAGATTGTGTAAACTTCTCAGTTAACAGTCATGTGTGGTAAATTTTCATATTTTTGGCAGCAAGGTAAAAAAAAAAAACATTTCTTACCGTATTATTGGGATGGTAGTTAAGATGTAAACCACTATCACACAGAGGCGATGAAGTACCACTGCTTTGATCACTAGGAATGCCTAATAAAAACATAAATACATACAAAAGTGTATCACAGCTTACTGAACTACACACACTTCATAATCAAAACTGACATTGGTTTTGTCATACAGTAGTTACAATTCAGCCACACATAGGGCACAGCTGTTGCCTCTGCTACAGAGGGTGTTTTAATGTGTATTACAGGGGTACTAAATGCATCAGCTCTCAAAAACCAACATGCATATGAAGATCATCAAAGATGACTGAAGGGATGGGGAGTTCTTTGCCATGCAAAGTAATCTTACAGACTTGTGATAACCAGTTGTTTTCCCTATTTGAAAAAAAAAATCTGCATTGCCATCAGGGTACAGATTTATAAATGTCAACACTGTTTTATGATCTGCATTATCTTTTACATTCTATTTCGATACACCACCCAGATATTCTATGAAAGTAGAGCGATTTATAAATTCTGAAGCAAATAACTGTGGTGATCCTACATTACTTCACCACCCCCAAATAGTCTTCTGCCTGTAAAAAATAAAGTAAGTGTGTGAATTCTACTGTGTACATGTAGTATTTTTGAAACTTGAAAGGAGTGAATTGTTTTGATAATATCTAATGAATATAAAATATCTTCATTAGTATGAATAAAGGAGAAACTGGTATAATGATAGAAATGAGAACACTTTCAACAAGTTAATCAACATTTGAAAATAAATGAATATAATGCAATGGGAATTATTTAATGGGTAGGAGGTTATTTGAATTCATTTCAGAAGCTTTTTTAAAACAATATTTTCCTTTTCTTAATTAAAAGGCTGAGGGAAACCCTGTTGATAATCTTCACAAGGCAACTATAGAACACAGACAAAGCCATATCAGACTATGCACTAGTCCCTACAATTTATTAAAATTATAGAAGGAAGACAGCTGTCTCTCCATTTCTGCTATTTCCCAATAAGACTAATCAGTTTAAATGGTTGAACAAAAACAAAATACTGATCACTATGGACTCCATTAATCTTCACTTAAAGCAGAGCAATCTGTTCAAGCCCATGACTGCAATTTAAAATGAAAAGTCCTCAAGACAGATATATTCACTCTCAATTGCCAAGTTAGGGGGGAAATGCCAATCCTTCTCCAAATCTCTGCCATTATGTATTAATCTAGAAATGAAATGCAAATACTCTGGACAAATTATCGTTAAGTCAAAGAACTTTAATAGCACTCAAAGCAAGTTGTAATCAGTTGAGAGCATAACATCATCTCTAAAGCAAAGGTTTAAAATGGAACACTCAAAATCAGCTCTAGGGAAAAACTCATACAATTCTCAGCAAAAATAAGCAAACAAAAACCAAACTATGATTTGTAAATTAACAAAGGCAGGGCAATTCACAGAAGCAGGCTTAAAAAGTAGTAATTTGAAGTGGCTCTGGGGCTCCTATGGTAGATTCAGACTTGGGTTTGTTTGGGTTGTGGTTGTTGTTGTTGTTGATAAAAATAACAGTTAATACTTACATGCACAGTCTTCGTTGAGGGGCAGTTTGAGAAATGCAGGTGCTCTTTTGAGAAAGGATACAGTTAGGGTCACCTCTTCTCCAGCATTCCGAAGAACCTGGACCTGAGGATTAAAGATGTAGATGTAACACACACATACAAGCCAAAATTGCATTCTACCCTTCACACACAATTGCACAGTTGCTTACTGTACAACACAAAAAAGAAATGAACAATAAAAGCAAACGTGCATTTTTAAGCTTTAAGGTTATATTCTGGTTTCCTTAAAATTCTTCACAGACAAATTTCCCAATCCCTTCTCTTGTTTTACAAAAGGACTTCAGTGAACAGAGGTCTGGAGTAAGCATTTTGGTAAAAGTTGGGACTGAATCAGACATCTCGCAAAAGCTGAGCCTTATATTGCAAGAGTGAAACCTGCAGATGGCCAGATGTTGGAACTATCACCAAGCAGAACACATAAGCCTCCCACCTGTGAGCAGAACTGCCTCTCTTATGAGAAAGCTGACTTTGGTGCAAAATCCAGCGAGAGGAGGGAATTCTGTGGATGCCAAAGCAGATGAACCCACAGCTGTACAGTCAATCACCCTTCAACCAGGAGACTCATGAGGTTATGAAAAGTGCCTGCCTGGCCAGGCTAAACCTTACACAGTTGTGATTAGCATTCTAGAACATGATCATTTCCAGGAGGAAGGAACGACGTTCCATTGAAATTGTGCAAGAGGGGCTTGGATAATATCATTTCCCCTCGGATCATAAAAGGACACCATGAGCAGTCTTCTACTCCCTTTCTGCTTAAAACAAGGCAGTCTCATTGGATAATTCAGTATGAATTCAGTATGAAGGCATCCCATGTAAAAAAAATATAGTGCATGGGTAGCTAAACCTTTCTAATCTCACAGAAAAAAACTCTAGTAAATAAAATCCTCTAGTAAATAAATGCATATTGGTGGAATCTGTCTGGTTTGCCTCTCACTTTGGACTAAAAAAACAACCCCTGAATTTTTCTTCGGTGATTTAAAAGAAATGTGTGCTTCCCCTTCTCTTCTGCTACATGAATTACCCAGAGTCACTTCATCCAGATTATCAAAACTGTTCTCACTAGTGTAACAGCCAGACCATCTATCAAGAACTGAATTGTCTGTCCCTGTGCTGCTCTCACAGATATGAGCAAATGTTTCACAGTAATTTGACACAGTGGAAGTCATGTAAACTTTGCTGAGCATCCCTTTCTGAAAGTGGGACACACTTGATCACAGAAAATATCAACGATGATGCTACTTAGAAGGTTGTAGCGAGCAATGCACAACTGAAAGAAAAAGGTAGGGGAAAAGGTATCACCAGCAACATGCGGAAATTTAAGAGAAGACACCTATCTCACAAAACGTAAGATGTACGGAAATGTTAAAATAGGTATACAAAACTGAGCTTCAATTTGTACTGTTAATAACCTTGCTATCTCACGTTCATTGAAAATGATCACCGAGTCCTTCAGGTTACAACATTAAAACTGTCCTATTCTAACCCAACACTTTAAACATTTTTGCTGCTGAATATATACATTCACATTCTATTTCATACATCTGCTAAAGCATACAGTTGCCAGCGAAAGCTCGTTGCTCACTAATCGGACAGTCTCTTTAAAAAGTATACCGCAGTAATGTTTATTTTTGCTGCTACAGACAATAAAAATATACTGCTTCACCATGTTGGTGAATATGGTGAAGAAAGGCACATTGGTGGTATTTTTTTGAAAAAGGCTGGTTGATGGAATGCATACCACTTTATGCATTGGGTTTCAGAACACAGGAACCTTTTAGACTCCTAGGAATCATGACCCCGGAGTCTAGCAATGACCAAAACACCAGATTAGGGGCTAAAGTGTCACTGGCAAAATCAGAGTTTACTGTTATAAAACTATGGGTTGCTAGTTGGATGGGGAGAATGTGATGTGGACAACATCCAAAAAAATCGAGGTACATGCAGGTTTTAATCCACTTTAAGCTCCCACCATGGGAAGGAGTTATGGTGGACCCAGAAATATCTAGAGTAAATGTATTGGTCTATACTACTGACAGAAAGGTGCCCTTTGGCCCTGCAGAAGATCTGACCACTCCCCTTCCTCTTTATTCTCTCCATGATGCCCTCTTCTCCCTTTTGAAACAGACTTCATTTCTATCTTCTGGCTACATGTGGTTAAGATACTAAGATACAAACAGGCATGAGATTTCTCAAATACCTTAAAACACTGGAGCCACATATTTTAAGCAGCTCTTTAATATTCTAAATGTCATGCCCTTCAAAGCTGCTCCATATATTTTTAATAATTTAAATTTAAATTTTAAATCACAATCAAAGTTATGAGCTGATTTAAATGTGGGATGCTTTTGTTATTGAAATTTGGTTAGAGAGACCTCAGAGAATGCACAAAAATAAGAATAAAAGCTTAATAAATAAAAGACTAGAAATGTTACTATAGCTTTTTCAATATTTCTTCTAAATAATGCTCAACATCATTAATAAATGTCAGCCAGAGATGCAGTGCTCTAATCGGGCAACTTACTTTACAGTATTTGTATTCTCAGGTCATCCACTATGACTGAAATCTCTGAATTGCTGAACACTCTATATAGATTCCTCCATATCCCTCAGCGTTGCAATAGTAGTTTATTAGAAGTATTTTCAGACATGGCAGAAGACACAAAGCACTATGAATACAGTAGTCTAATTTCACATGTGTTGTGCAAAATACATTGTGGTTCAGCTCCTTAGAACTCAGTAATCTTATTTATGCTGAGCAGCCTTTTGTCTAACTCCAACAGCAAAAAGGATGGGGATGGTTATTCAGAAACTGCTTGCATGAACATGAAAACACGGTGGTTGAAAACTGACAGAAAGGGCTGACACATGAGCTTTGTAATGTAACATAAAAAGGGAGGCATATTTTGTCCTAATGTTGTGGCCCAGTTCATACATATCTGAGCGAATGATGGGATTTATGTAGTGGAGGAATGAAGGCAACAACACTTTTGAGCAAATCAGTCACATGCAACTCCTCTCTGCATTTCTTTTGGGGAAGGGGAATTGGAATTGCATTCACAAATGCTGCACCTGAGCCATTTCTCAGCCAGATGAAATACTTTTGCCTGCCCAGAAACATGAACCTATATTGGGTCACCAGCCCTACTCTACACAGCCGGCTTTGTAAGAATGTCAATGAGATGTTGAATAAGGGATAGTGGAAGTGTCTGTGAGCTGGATTCATTATGTATTGCTGATCTAGAGAGAAGAAATTTTTCAGATGGGTATGTCAAACACAGTCCCACCCCGAACAACTCAGTGTCAGCGACAAATCTGTGTCCACAATGGCAGATGTGGGGAACTTTTGGCTCTCCAGATGTTGCTAAACAACAACTCATATCTGCCCCCAAAGCATGGTCAATGGCCAGTGATGATGGGAGTTGTTATTCAGCACATCTCCTTTCCGTGTCCAACAGAAAAGTGTTTGTGCTGTTGTTATTTTGGCCACTGGTTCCAGATTTTATAGGAGAGATCCAAAGAATGGCTTAAGCTCTCAAAATATTTTTCTTTTATTTCTTTCAATAGCAGGCTTCCATTCTCTATCCCAAATTCCCCTCATGGAATGGGCAGGGCTGGCATGGTTGATTAGCAAACCCCTTTGGAGTAAGGAAATTGGTTTCTTTGTTCTTTGTATCTGACCTATGTGCGATCACACTTGAAAAATGAGACTCAGTACATGTTACTGAACACACAGTGATGCTGGGCACACTCTTTTTAATATAGGATTTGTTAGACAGATTTATTTCTATTACCCAGCTTTATTTATAAATCACCCTTGAAAAATAATTTTAAATTCAGTTTTGCATACTAAAAATATTATTAGCAAAAGAAAGGTAACTAAATGGATAGAAGAAAATCTTTTAAAGAACTTGAATGAACTTTTGCAAGCTTTCCCCCCTACTAGCTGAGCTCTCCAGAACCTTGACAGTGGCATAAAACAAAATCCTTTGACAAATCTGTTTTTGAAGTAATGCTTTTGATCAATACTTGCAGCTCTCTCAGCTTAGTACGTAGGCTGCTCTGCCTCCAATCTCTGTTGAGAAAGATATTTTTGTACTGCAGCAAATGCTTTCTCTGACAAAATTAGTCTTGTCACCTGCAAACCATGTGAAAACTTCCTTTCTTGCCTGCTTCAGCCCATCCACATAATGATAGCCTTTCATACACAGATGAATAATTGCACTGCATCTGTGAGACATAACTTGTAAAACCTCTGAAAGTAGTTTTTGCTTTCTCCCATACACGTTTTTGTGGGGGGTTTTTTGCGCTCATCCATGCCACTGATCCAGCAATACAGGGAAACATATAAACACATTTTTGTCCCATCCCTATTTTGCAAAATCTGAAACCTATACTAAAATAGTAAGCACCCAACAAGAGGAATAGATAGGCAATGAAATAAAGTCCTATATAATAGTTCAGCTTCCCCGTTTCCCCTGAAATTATCTTTCATGGGCAGTGCAAACTGAAGTTAAGCCATGGGCAGGCTAGACACAACCTACAGGCCTTAATTTTTCTTCTCCATACCTTAAAAAAAACCCCATATACACAACAATATGTTTTTAAAAAACAGGTGTTAAGCCTGATTTAAGATTAGTATCCAGCACAGGTTACACACTCCATTGTTTCAATTGCATCTTCCCCAACCTGGTGCCCTGCAGATTTTTTTTTCAACTATAACATTAATCAGCTCCAGCTGGTTTGGTCATGGGCTCCAGGGTATCGAAAATTGGTTTATGGGATACCTGCAGCTACTGAATCTTCTATCATCTGTTCTTTCTCAGAAGCTTCTTGTGTCTCTATCTTATTCTCTAGACCTGAACTGAAAATAAGAACTTGCCCTCAGGAGCTCTTTCTCATATTTGGATGACAGGAAACAGCCTTATACCAAGACAACCCATTTCCTGCTCTGACTGGCAGTGAGTCCTCAGGTGTTTCAGGTAGGGTTTTCTTCCTCCAGGCCCACCTTGGAAATACCAAGGATTGAACATGGGACCTTCTGCCTGTAAAGGTTATTATGCTAGG